GCCACTTGTGCCCCGCACCCACCCGGGCCGCAGGCTCGTGGGCAGACCTGGCAGAGCCCACTAGGCGCGAAGGAAGTGCCCTCGAGGGGCCCTGACGCCGCCTTCTGAACCCTCCTTCCTGAACCCTCGTGGCAGTGACGCCCACCCCTTTCCAGGACCCCTGACTGGTCTCACCCCAGTGCCTTTGTGGCAAAGCAGCCCCCAAACTGGCCGTTTAAGGCCCCAGTGCTTAATCCCACAAGGGTGGACGTGTGCCAGCAGACGCACACGCGCTTATCTAGTGAGAAGTGACACGTCTTAATTAGGGATCCAGGGTGCCAGGGAAGCTGCAAAAGTGCCCATTTAGCGAGCGATGCCGGCGTCCGCACGCAGTGCTCCTGGCAGGCAGCCGTTTGAAGTCTGGTGTCTGTCTTGTGTCTCCCCTTCTGATCCAGCTCTGGCAGGCTGCGCTAAGCACGCTCAACCCCAACCCCACGGACAGCTGTCCCCTCTACCTGAACTATGCCACCGTGGCCGCCCTGCCCTCCAGGGTGAGCCGCCACAACAGCCCCTCGGCCGCCCACTTCATCACCCGCCTGGTGCGGACCTGCCTGCCGCCGGGGACCCATCGGTGCATTCTGGTGAGTGCTCCTGAGAGGCTGGCCCCACACAACCCCCACCTGGGCTGCAGGTCACAGTGTGCTGGCTGTGCTGGCCGTGACCTGTGTCTCCCACAACTCAGCCCTGGGGACCCCTGAGCACTCTGGCCACAGTATCTTCAGAGGTGGATATTGCTCCACGGCTGGAGATTGCAACCCCTGCTTTACAGACAGGGAAACTGAGGTCCCAGAGACATAAGCACCCCAGCCCAGTGTGGGTGGCAGATCTGAGCCTCCGACCCAGACCTCCTGAGCCCACATCCACCGTGTGGCCCTGCACGTCCGGCTGTCCGGTCTCAGGAGGCAGTGGACCACATCTGGTGGCTGACATTTTCTTTCTCCCATCATGGGACCATGGTTCCGGGGAAGGCCCCTGGGATGAAGGCCCTGCTGGGGTATCTCTGGCCAGATTGTTTCCACAGTGGCCTCTGACCCAGCTGTGGGGCCCAAGCACTTCCTGACAGGGGCTCCCATGGGGCGACCCCGGGATCCCCTCCCCCGCTGCGCTCCCCTCACCACAGCTCTGCTCTCTGGTGCTGCAGATGGTCTGTGAGCGGTCTGATGCCTTCGCCTCCGCCTGCGCCCTGGCCCGCGCTTTCCCCCTCTTCACCCACCGCTCAGGGGCATCTCGGCGCCAGGAGAAGAAGACCGTCACAGTGGAGTTTTTCCTGGTTGGACAAGACAACGGGCCAGTGGAAGTGTCCACTTTGCAAGTGGGTGTCTGGAAGCTCAGACCGTGCCCCCTCCGCCCCCCCCCCTCCCCCACACTCCCTGAGAGGACAGGATAGGGCTGCTGCTGCTGGAGAGAGCCGGCCCCCGGGGCCTTTCCAAAGCCTGGCTGCAGGCTCCCTCCCTCAGGGTGGTCTTGTTCTCAGGATTCAGTTCCCTTCAGCCAGTGTTTATGAGCACCTACCTCGCACCAGGCGCTTTCATGTTTTAATACTAATAATCCTGCCCGTGTATATATCACATTACCCTTTATGGTGCGCTTTTACATATGTTATTTCATTTGGTTCTTCAAATAATCCTTTTGAAGCGAGGCAAGGCTGGAGGTAATTTCCAGCTTTCAGTCCGTGTGTGGACTGGCTGCCAGGTGACCCTCCCAGACCTGTGGCTGTGATTTCGCCCTCCCACCTGCAGCCCCCTTTCCAAACGCCAGACGCAGATGGTCCTTGCTGCTCCCTCACCCTTCACTCTGTCTCAGGCCCTGTTAGCACCCCCTTGTCCACTATCTCACCACCTTGCTCTACAAACTTTTAATAACATGGTCTGATTGCTTGGCCTGTCTTAACTCCCTTCCTCACTCAGCCTGCCAGTATGGAGTTTGCCCATCCCCTTCCTGACACGGTCCTCTAGGGCCCAAACCTGCCAGACTCAAGCACTTGTCATCCTTCCTTGAAGAGCCCCCGCCCACCTGGAGCCCTCTCTCCTCCCCACACCCTTTCCACCTGCCACCTGAGAGCCATCCTCACTTGGGATTGTACATGAGTTTAGCCTCCCACTGGTGTGGGAGCCCCGACTTGGTCCCATGCATAATAGTCCTCTTGTGTGTGATGGAGCCAGTGGGCTGGTGGGTCTCCCTGGCCCCGACACCCCACCCTGGGATCAGGCAGCAGCCTCCTAATGGCCTGGCTGCCTCAAGATTCCCCCCTCTGGTTCCCACTTCCCCCAACCTCATGACCAGGGGAGGGCCAGTGCTTCCCGGGTGCTTGTCAGATGTCAGGCTCTGCTCCAAGTACACACGTGCACACACATCTGATTTCCACAACTGCCCCGTGAGGTGGGTCCTGTTACTCTCCCCGCTTGAGAGCTGAGCAGACTGAGGCTCAGAGACACTGAGTGATTGAGCTCAGCCAACCAGCAAGGGGTAGACCCGGGCCTTAACCACAGCTTCCATCCATCAGCCCTCTTTCCCTCCCGTCTGGGATCATAAGTGTGAGGTTCTGACATCGCATGTGGCTTTTCCCTCCCACTTGGGTCCCTGTGGCCTCTCATACCCTCCTCCTCCGTAGCATTTAATGAAACAATGTTGTGAGTCTCTGCTGGACTCACGTCCTTGGATATCTGTGGATTCAGAGTCTAGTGTGGAGCCCGGCGCATGGCAGGTGCCCACGTAGATGTGGATGAATGGATGAGTGAGTGAATGCTGCTGCTTTCTGATGAGATCAAGGCACAGTGAGGTGCGGGCCCCTCCCTGCAGGTGCGCCCTCTCTCCTGAGTCAGGGCTGCGTGCGTGGAGGAGCCCTGCACTCACAAGGTCATGAGGCCGGCACCCTGCCTCCCTTGAAACAACCCTCAGAGTGCTGATGCACTCCCCAGACAGCAGCCAAGGGTCTCTGGTGCCCACCAGTGGGGACCCTCACCCTCCCTGGGGAGGGCTTGCTGCCAAGCTGTGGGGACCACATGGCATGTCTCAGATCTGAGCTGTCAAGTCTCTGCCTCTGAGGTTTAGGGGTTAATTACCTGGGAACAGGCAGGGACCTGGGAGGGGGCTGGGCTGGCATTAGGGACCCAGCGCTGCCCTCCCCACTCCTGTGGGCCTGGAAGAGGCAACAAGAAACTGGATGCTGTCCACATCCCTGCCAAACCCACACTGCATTTCTCTCTCAAGGCAGCCAGGCCCTGGGGCAGGTGCTGGGGGGCCAGGTAGGACAGAGCAGGGAGGCAGAGCTGAGCATCAGGGCTGAGTCAGGTGCATGGGAGCTCTTGGCAGAAGCTTTGAGGGGAGAGAGACATGAGCATGCCCTCTGCACAAGGCCCAGCTGTCTATGTCCTTCCCTTCTTGCCCTGTGGCCAGAGCAGTGTTGCATCAGGTGCCCAGGAAGAAGGGTGAGGGTCTGGGACACCCCCATGGGGCCCACACGAGAAAAACGCCTCCCCAGCGGGTCCAGGAGCCTTTTTTCCATTGCGAGGCTCCGAGAGACTCCTGGAGCATGTGGCCTTTGAGAAGTACCTTGAAGGGTGGCTGGGACCCTGGTTAGAGAAGCAGGGGTGTTTGGTCTGCCTGGGTAACCGTGACACCAGCCCCTCAACAGGGGTTTAGATGCTTGTTTCTCAAACTCCCAGAGGCTGGCCATCCTGGAGCCTAGCCATCCCAGATCAGGGTGGCTTCCACAAGCTGCGTTCTCTTCTTACAAGGGCGCTAATCCCATCATGGGGTCCCATCCTTCTAACCTCACTGAAGCCTGAGCACGTTCCCAAACCCTACTGATACCCTCCTCTGGTGGTCAGGGCTTCAGACTCCCATAACAGAGGGTATCACCTCCTCCTGGGCAGGGGGGATCCAGTGGGCAGAGGCTGGACGAGGTGTGCACTCAGGGCCAGGCAGGAGATCACCTGCCACCAGAGTAAGGGGCAGAACAGGAGACGAGGCTCAGAAAGCAAGAAGGACCCCATGCAGACCAGGAGAGGATGCTAGGCCAAAGGGCTCCTCTGTGGCTCTGCAGCCATAGGGGTCTTTCTGTAGACGGCTGGGGTCATGGGTACAACTCTCGCTTCCCTTCCACCTGCCCTCATTGCCCGGCCTCCCCCGGGAGACGTGTGCCTCTGACACTTGTGGGTCCTGGCTGTTGGCAATGAGGGACACCATCCACCTGTCCCAGGGCCCGAGTGACAGCCTTTTCTTTCTCCTAGTGTTTAACGAGTGCCACGGAAGGCGTGCGGCTAGCAGCCCGAATTGTGGACACACCCTGCAATGAGATGAACACAGACACCTTCCTTGAGGTTCGTGGCCCTGGGGTCCAGCTGGGGTGGGATGGTGTTGATGGACCCCAGGGACAGTCAGGAATCCCAGGGCTGCCAGGGGTGGTCCACAGTCTCTGCACTTCATCTGGGGAAGCCACGGGCCGCTGCAGAGTCCTGCCATCCACCCAGAGCCGAGGGGCCCCTGGGCCTCAGCCGGGGGTGGAGGGAGGACACAACCTCCTCTTTGAGGCCCCCATGCAGGACTCGAGCCATGAGCCACAGGAAATCGCAGAGTTTGGAGGTGATTAAACCTCTCCTGGGTTTAATCATGCTTAGAGCCGAGAGTCAGGGCCTCAGCTTCCCGGCCCACCCCTCTCCCACCACAAGGCATCTGCTCACCCCGTCCCTGGCCTCACCCTCATTTTAAGCCATCTTCACGTGTTGTGTGTTGTTGTTTTTTCCATGAATGCATCCAGGAGATTAAGAAAGTTGGAAAAGAACTGGGGATCGTCCCAACCGTTATCCGGGATGAGGAGCTGAAGGCGAGAGGATTTGGAGGTGGGTGGGGGCCAGTCCTCCTGGGTCCTGGCCTCAGCAGAGGCCTGGGGTACCTGGGGGGTTGGGGGGTTGCCAGGCCACATGTCGTGCTGTCCCGAGCTTCACCCTACAGGAAACCCGCCTGTGTCCAGCCCCCAGGCCAGATCCTGGGAAGCAGCCCATCCCCGGGGGAAAGAGGAGGCAGCGATTCAGATCCTGATTCAGATCCTGGAAGCCGCAGGGTCCAAGTCCTTCCCCGTCCGCCCTCTCTGCAGCCTCCCCCGCACTGCTCTCCTGCTCCCCAGGCCAGCCCAGCAGGGCCTTTCTGTTCCTCGAATACACAAGCTCATATCCCCATCAAGACATGCTCTCGTGGCTCTTTCTCCCTGTGATACTCTCCCCCAATATGATCTCACAGACCACTTCTTCAGAGAGCCCTCCCTGACTGCCAGGCACATCCTTCCCACCTCCCAGGCACCAAGGTGCAATGACAACTGGAACAGGGTTGGGAAGGTCACTGTGGTTGTTATCTGTGGCTGCAAAACCAGTTACCCCAGAAGGCAGCAGCTGAAAGCAACACCATCCTTCCCGTGCCGGTCTGTGGGTGGGGAACTGGGCGTGGCTTAGCTGGGTCTGGCCCAGGGTCTCTCCAGGCCATGATACCTGTGTTAACTGGGGCTGCAGTCATTTGAAGCCTCAACCGGGGCCCAAGAGAGGCTCCCAGCAAGGCTCACTGATGGCCCTGCCATCAGGGGCCTAGCTGGCTGTTCCTTGTCGTGTGGGCCTGTCCTTGAACAGCTTGCAACGTGGCAGCAGCTTCTCTCAGAGAGGTCTCTGAGCAAGAGAGAAGAAAGCACACAGCACAGAGGCCAGTTCTGTTTCTGTGACCTCCTCTTGGACAATTCCTGCCACATCCCAAGAAGCTGAGACACACAGTCCTGCCTCATGGGGGAGGGGAGAGGATCCACAAGACCATGAATGCCCAGAGGGGATCCGTGGGGGCTTGTTCGAGCTGCCTATCACAGTCACATAAGCCAGCTGCAGCTGGAGGCAGTCCTGTCAGGGAACGCATCACAGAGGAGGTGACATTTGCAGCAGGTCTTGCAGGATGACTAGGAGTTTGTCAGGCCACCACTACTGGCTTGTCCTGGTTGCTAAGATTGTTCGGTTAGATTATCAGGGGGACCTTGAGGCGTGGGCTCTGCCCACAGCAAGCCGGGGTTTTCTCAAAAAGCTGGGGTGTGTAAACTGACAGCAAGGCAGCAGCAGGAGTGAGCTGGGAAAGGGAGGTGGCCGTTGAGTGCATGGAGGGGTCAGTGATGGGAGGGTGATCAGGGCTGGAACAGCCTTGAAGCATTGTCCAAAATCCCTTCATTTTGCAGTCCTGTTCACTGCTTTCTGGGAATGATACAATTTTTTTTTTTCCTGAGCGAGTCTTCTTGCCTAACACTACTTCACATAGAACTCAATTGCATCCCCCAATTCCACAGTGACCAGGAGCAGGAGAGGGCGGGGAACTTGGTTCACATGGCCAGGCTCTGTGGCCCAGAGGAACACCCACAGGCCAGCAGCTGTTTGTGGGGAGAGCAATGTTTCTGGGGGACTCCCAGGAGTCCTCCACTCGGCCCGGCCTGAGCCTCACTGACGAGTCCTGTGCTTTCCCTAGGAATCTACGGTGTTGGCAAAGCCGCCATCCATCCCCCGGCCCTGGCCGTCCTCAGCCACACCCCAGATGGAGCCACCCAGACCATCGCTTGGGTGGGCAAGGGCATCGTCTACGATACCGGGGGTCTCAGCATGAAGGGGAAGGTGAGGTGCAGGACCAGGGCTGGGGGGATGTGGTGGGGGAAGGGCGGCCCCTTCTCAGGTGTCAGAGGAAAGAGCAAGTTGTTGGGGCATCCAGGAGGGAGGCCCTGGGGCCCCGTCCCCTCCAAGGGGCAGACAGTTCGTGCCTGCAATGAGTCAGGACACAGAAAATCCAGAGAAGAAGAAGAAAAGGTCCTAGGGTGATGCCCACTGTCTTTGTGACCATCTGCAATAAAATATTATGAGTATTATAGTACAGATAAAGAAAACAGTCATCGGTTAACACTTGTAAATAGCATTAAGTAATTTCTGACAGAAAAAGCTGGCGCCTCCATGTCATTCTCTCGTGGTGACGTACGCCAGGGTCACCACCCTGCCATCCAGCCTTCACTTCTGTCGATTTGTCAGTGACTCTATCACATTGCTCTTCTTCACATGTTTATGTTCGCTAGATGGAGGTGCCAGGTTTGTCAGTCTCTGCACTCATAGTTGATCCAAAAGGGCACAATTAACTTTAATTTTGAAGACTTTCTGTCACATGAAGCAACTGATGTACGAATACTCAGGGAAAGTCTATTAATGGAAGGGTCCCTCGGCAGAGACCAAAAAAGACCCCACTTGACAAGAAAATCCCCAAATCGTCTATGTCCATGTTTCCGGTTCTTTGAGGTGGACTCCAGCAGCTTTCAAACATCTGTGGAGTAAAAATGTCTTGTACAGCACAACCCCGGTGTTTCCCCTAGACTGGGCAGCAGCATGGCTCACTGCTCCTGGGGTTTACGCCGAATCCACCATCCGAAGGCAGGAGCTCACTGTCAGAGGTGCCGTGGACACCAGGCATCGCAGAGCCTGCCTGACTCAGAACCAGGGTGCTTTGAGGAGTCTGTGCCCCTGGCAGTGATTAGTGTCCATATAGGATAATGCTTCTGGAAGGAGGAAGAGTTAAGACAGGCAGGTCTGAAGCTTTTATTTATATGGTAAGGACTCACTTCAACCAACAACAGGGTTTCTTCTGGAGGAATACTTTTACCACTGATGACAACAAACAAACAAGCTTTTGTTGTTCAGCTGCTAAGTCGTGTCCAACTCTTTGCGACCCCAGGGACTGCAGCACGCCAGGCACCTCCGTCCTCCACTGTCTCCTGGAGTTTGCTCATATTCATATCCATTGAGTTGGTGATGCCTTCCAACCATCTCATCCTCTGTCGTCCCCTTCTCCTACTACATTCAATCTTTCCTAGCATCAGAGTCTTTTCCAATGAGCCGGCTCTTCGCATCAAGTGGCCAAAGTATTGGAGCATTAGCATTAGTCCTTCCAATGAATATTCAGGGTTGGTTTCCTTCAGGATTGACTGGTTAAATCTCCTTGTAGTCCAATGGACACCCAAGAGTTTTCTCCAGCCCCACAATTTAAAGCATCAGTTCTTTGGTGATCAGCATTCTTTCTGATCCAACTCAGCTTTTAGTCTGGTTTATTATTGTTCTTAAATTCTTAACACCTGGTGTTGATCCTCACCCCACATCCTTGATAGGGGCTCTTGCCCCTTTAGCAGTTGCATTTTGGGGGGATGGATTTGTGGGCTCATTCGGACATTGGCTTGTTGGAGGGTGGAGTGAGAAGCAAGGCTTCCAGAGGGTTAGTCATTTTGCTGGTGGCACCCTCTCCCAATTTTGCAGGAATAGTCCTGGCTATTTTCAAAGATTTCAAGGCAAATCAGGATCAGTGTGAATTAAGGGGCCTCAGATATGTTCATCTCAGAACTTCTTCCACTCTGAAAAATACTGATCTTGAAAGAGATTTTATTTATGAGGGCGATGTCTGCTAGCTGTCTACTAGAAATTGAAACTGGGAAAATTTAAAGATAGTTATTAATTCATTAAAAAGACCAATATGACCCCATTGCATGCCACTGTAAATAATGCAGTCTTATGAATAGAACTGTATTTTCCAAAATGAAAAGAAGAAATTAACCAGAAGAGTGGCACCATTTTACATTTCTGCAGCTCTCTTTACTGTCTGCCTTAGTGGAAGACAGCTGTGATCACATATCTGCTTCTGCATTTAGTCTGTTGCAATACGTTTTGGTTGAAATATAAAAAAGAAAATCTGGTCCCAGTCCTTCAGCAGTTAGAAAAAGGAGAAGCATTTTAATACCTTCTTCAGGTAACTGAGGGCCTTCTTCTTTGCTGTTACACCAAAACTCGACAAGTGGGAGTTTCTGAAAGGTTGGTTATGATGGGGGATTTAAAGCCACACCTGTGAGCTCTGCTGCATTGAAATCTGTGGGTCCATCCTGAAGTCTGAATGCACGATTTTATGATATCACATATGTGCCATTTGGAAAACACTGTTCACAGAGTTATGCCGAACCTCCAGATTTTGACATCTTTCCAGCATACACTATTTTAAAAAGTCACATTCATTAATATCAGCATCTATCTCATGTAGAAAGTTGAGTATTAGGAAACCATCATGGAAGCAGATACAAGTTTTTCAAAATCCTGATTTTTTTTTTTTTGCTTGAAAGCTCCAGTTTTACCAGGTGAGGCCAGCTGTCCTCCTGGAGGTGAGAGGCTCACTCTGGCCATTTTCGAGACAATGTCCGCATATACCTGCATCTGGACCCCCGGAATCTGTCAGTGGTTCCCCCCACCCCAACTCCAGGACAGTGTTGTTGGGAGAGCAGAGGCTCGTTGAGCTCAGGACTTGGCGCCCACTCTTGCCTGGGCTCCAGCTGACTGAGCAGAGCCGAGCGCCGGGCATCAGGAAGCAAGTGCAGGACCTCCCCCACCCCTTCCATGCCATCAGGACAGTGCTGGGAATGACTCTTCTCTACAGTTGAGGTTTCCAAAAAGCTAATCATTTCACTGCTTTACTGCAAGGAGACTCGAGTGAAATTGGCAGCACCTTGTTTCCTAAAGGCCTGGAAATGAGTCCAGTGACCACCAGTTCCCACAGGCCCCAGGTCACCACTGCCCCATCGGTATAAACAGCAACCCAACAGTGACAAAGGCGCTCCTGTGGAAATAGTTTCTTTGATAAAAACAGGAATGCCAGGTGGGGTCCATGAGGCTGACTCAGTCTATGGAGCTGCATTTGTGGTGGGACATTTGTTCTGTTTGTGTCCAGGGACATGGGGATTCAGTGGCCATCTCCAGCCATCTTCCATGTGACCTTTCAGCAGGGGGGTTGATTCTCGGTTTGAGGCCCCATTATTCCATTTAAACAATCCCGTGGTTTCTCGCAGGTTAGGTCAAAACAGCTTATTTCCAATAGTGCTAGCTGAGTCATTTTTGCTCCACTTAATTGTAAAAACAGCTCAGTTTATATCTAAAAATACTTTCCATTAAAACTCTCAGCTCGTGTAATCCAATAAGGGCTCAGAAAAATCGTACATTTCGGTCCCAAATCCTTACATCTGATGACCTGTTGTTAATTTAAAATATGAGCCTGTCAATTAGCATCAAGAGCCTATAAACCGTAAAAGTACCTAGCTGCCCTCAACTAGTATATCGGAAATGGTGTTTACTTCTGTGGCAGGAGGACACTTCAGTCTCCAGCGCCTCCCTCCCTAGACCCCGTCACCCAGGAAACGCGAATGCGGGCAGGTGTCAGGCGCCCTCAGGGCAGGAGTGGGATTGATGGGGTCACAGTGACCAGTGACATTTAGGAGGAGCTCACATTAACCTAGATGGGTGGTCAAGGTCGTGACATGGAGGAGCTGCAGACAGATCCCCAGGCTGACTTGGGCACAGCTCCGCCTCTGAGCCAGGCCGCTCTGGAAGCCCCCACTGAATCTCACAGTTCTGTTCAGTAACCCCCAAAGCTCTGCTCAAGCTGGACGTGCCCCCCCACCAAGCCAGCACATTTGACCCTGGCTTCTCATTGCTTCTGGAGGATCTCCAGGTGACTAGTGGCATTTTCTGGGTTCTGTAGGCACTCAGCTGACTTGGCACCAGCTCCTGTGCCTCTGGGGCCCCGGTGTGGGGAGCGGGGTGGGGAGCACTGTTGCTGTGGGGTCAGCATCCACTCACCTCTCTCTCGCCCCTTCCTGTCCCCACAGACCACCATGCCGGGGATGAAGAGGGACTGTGGGGGCGCCGCAGCTGTCCTGGGGGCCTTCAGAGCCGCTGTCAAGCAGGTGAGGGGGGCCCTGTCTTCCTCCCTGGTCCTCCTCCCCAGAGCCCCCTGAGTCTGCGTGGCTGGCACCATCCCCCTCCACACTCCTGCGCCGGGTCCCTGGGGCCCCCAGGGCTCCTTGCTTCAGTCAGGGCTCCTCCCGCCAAGAGTGTCACCCCACCCGGGCATGTCACCTCTGCCTGATGCCTGCTGGCATCATGGGCCCCCCGCTAAGTCCTAAGAGCCTCACCCGTCCCGACCAAAATGGGAAGGGTGCTGTGCAGCAGACTGCCTGCCTCACCCCTGGGCTCTGACGCTCAGGGCGGGGGTCTGGGGAGGGGCTGGCTACTGTTCGGTGGAAGAGGTCTGGGGTCTGTCCTGGAATACCAGGAGCGGCCACACGGAGCCCAAACACCAGGGCAACCAGAGGCCCCCGCGCTCCCCACCCAGGACACACAGGCCTCAGAGAGCCCAACAATGGGAACCAAATTCCTGAACTGGGGGCCTGGTCGATAACAGTGTGGTGGCTGTTGCCCACGTTTGCCCTTTGACACCGCAGAGCATGTTTATGCAGCAGAGGCGCTGGGCGCCCTGGCCGTCTAGGTCCGCTCACCTCTCAGGCAGCTCTGAAAAGCCCAGCCCTTCCGGTCACCAAACATAAGCCCCTCTTCCTCACAGGCACCACCTGAGCAGCATGCCCCCAGGGGGAGACTTCCCGAGAAAAGAAAAGCAAAAGGATCTTGGCAAACGATTTCTGCCCAGCCACGCCCGAGAGGGGAGCAGAAAGGCTGGAGGGGAGGGGGGCTCGGCCTAAGGGGTGCTGGGGGGGGGTCTCAACTGTGCTGGGAGGCGTCATGCAGCCTTCGTTCAGCAGCACCCAGCCCACCTGCCTGGATTCAGCCAGGCCCGCGACCTCCTCCGTAATGAACTCATAAAGTATGCAAAGGACTCACCTGGCCTCAGGGGCCGGGGGCGCTCTGGGAAGGGCTCATGGGGAAGGGTCCGGAGGGGGGCCCGCGCGGCTGCACTGCATGATGTCTCAGCTACGAGTTTGGGGTGACTGCACCCATGTAGGGTCCGTCCTGGCATCTGGACAGGCGGCTGGGCGGGGTCCCAGCAGGTGGGCCCTTCCTATGGGCGAGGAACCACTTGGCAATTAAGTCTGGTTCATCAGCTGGTGGTTGGAAGTGGTCCTCAGATTTCTCCTGCTTGTAGCTCATTTTTTAAGAAAAGGAATGTGCCTCAATTTGAGCCCTAAAGTACATGATGAGGGTCGTCACTCACAGAATGAAATGAGAGTCCACACTCATACCAATGGGAACAGGTCACTCCTCACAGTGGCCTCCCAGAGGCAGGCCTCCTCATGCTGTTGCTAACAATATGAGGCAGAGAGGCGGGAAACCACCTTTTGGCAAACAACAGCATAGTAATTGTCTTAGGTGAGCATGATCGACAGATGGTAACGTCAGAGCTGAGTGTGGTGGGCGTGGGAGTGAGGAGTGCACCCACACAGCTGTTTCTGTGGCTGCCCTGAGGGACCCTGAGCGGTGGGGGGTCACTGTGCCTCCATGGATTCAGTGCACTCAACCTCAGTGTAGGTACTGGGCGACAGCCAAGGGTCAAGGTCATCAAAGTCAAAAGCCCAACCTCAAAAGCTTAAAGATCAGCAGGTTTGTACGGTTAGGGACTGTGACCACTGACCGCATTGTATGGATAGGAGGCGGGAGCTGAGCATGGCCCTTGGGGAGCTGCCGGCCCGGACTCGAACCCAGCAGGCAGCTCTGCTTCTCGGGTGCATGCTGCATCGCCTGGCCTCTATTGGGACCCTGCCCTAGGGCCCGCCGCCAGGATGGTGGGGAGTGCAGGGGGCTGTGATACCTGCTCCTTGGACCCATCTGTCTGTCTATTGAGGGTCAGAGAGCTCCAGCCAGTCACCATCCTTCCTGCCCCTGATGCTCCCAGCCTATAACTGGAGCCTCTGCCCTGGTCCTTCCAGGGTTTTTTTTTTTATTCATTTATTTTAATTGGAGTCTAATTACTTTACAATATTGTGGTGGGTTTTGTCATATATTGACATGAATCAGCCATGGGTGTACATGTGTTCCGCATCCTGACCCTCACTCCCACCTCCCTCCCCATCCCAACCCTCAGGGTCATCCTGAGCACCCTGTCTTAGGCATTGAACCTGGACTGGTGATCCATTTCACATATAATAGTATACATGCTTCAATGCTATTCTCTCAAATCATCCCACCCTTGCCTTCTCCCACAGAATCCAAAAGTCTGTTCTTTACATCTATGTCTCTTTTGCTATCTTGCCTCGTTATCATCTTTCTAAATTCCATATATATGCGTTAATATACTGTATTTATGTTTTTCTTTCTGACTTACTTTGCCCTATATAATAGGCTCCAGTTTCATCCACATCATTAGAACTGATTCAAATGCATTCTTTTTAATAGCTGAGTAATATTCCATTGTGTATATGTACCACAGCTTTCTTATCCATTCGTCTGCTGCCTCCAGGGTTTCAAAGACACCCTCCATGCGGTGTTCTGCTTGGCCGAGAACTCCGTGGGGCCCAACGCCACAAGGCCAGACGACATCCATCTGCTGTACTCTGGAAAGTAAGGCCAACCCCACCTGCCCGCCTCACAGCACCCACCCCATCGTGCTGTCCCGGATCCCTGGGTGCCTGCGATGGGGGCTGGGTCCCTCTTCAACGTTTCGGGGGCCCACAGGGTCTGGGGACCCACCCCCCGCTCAGGGAGCCAAGCCCTTCCCAGCCTTTAGGCACTGCACTGCAGCTGAGGACAGGGAGGAGGGGCTCTAAGTGGGGTGTCTGCCATCCCCAGGACTGTGGAAATCAACAACACGGATGCCGAGGGCAGGCTGGTGCTGGCAGATGGTGTGTCCTACGCCTGCAAGGACCTGGGCGCCGACATCATCCTGGACATGGCCACGCTGACCGGAGCTCAGGTGGGCCCCACTGTCCCTTCTGCTTCGTCACCAGGTCAGAGCTTGTCTGTGAGGGTGCAGGCGCACAGGGCCCATGGACTCTGGAGGGAACGTTAGCACAGGGCCCCCATGGGGCGGTGCTCAGGCCCTCTTTCTCGGCCTGTCTCTCTGACCTGCTTTCTATCGGCATCTCTTCTGTCCTCGGTGTCCCCCAACCCACCACGTGATGCTCTCTACATCTCTCCCGTATCCCCAGGGCATTGCCACAGGCAAGTACCACGCGGCTGTGCTCACCAACAGCGCCGAGTGGGAGGCAGCCTGCGTGAAGGCCGGGCGGCAATGCGGGGACCTGGTGCACCCGTTGGTCTACTGCCCAGAGCTGCACTTCAGCGAGTTCACCTCGGCTGTGGCCGACATGAAGAACTCAGTGGCGGTAGGTGTGGAGCAGGGTGGACCTAGGTCCCCCTGTGAGGCCCCAGATCTGGGCTCTGAGCAGGCGAGGGAAGAAATCAGGGGAAGGGATGGCCCTCTCACTGGTCTCCCTGCAGCATATCCATTCACCAGGCACTGGGACATCCTCCCCACTCTGAAGTCCCCCATCAGGTCTATGACTGGCTTCCCCTTTGCCCCCAGGGTGAAAGCAGACCCCCTAGCCCAGCTGCCAGGCCCTCAGGGACCCTCTCTGCTGCTCTCCACGCTGGGCCCTCCACCCCAGGCCCCTTCTTGCAGACATCGGGAGATGGGGGTCACTGAGGATGGGGGTCAGGAGGGCGCAGGGTGTCCACCGTGGCCACCCCCGCCATGGCTGGGGTAGAAGGTCATGACTGCCTTCTACTCCAGGACAGGGACAACAGCCCCAGCTCCTGTGCTGGCCTCTTCATCGCCTCACACATCGGCTTCGACTGGCCTGGGGTCTGGGTCCACCTGGATATCGCTGCGCCCGTGCACGCTGTGAGTCCAGGGCACGGGGGTGCCCCTGCCCCCCCCACCGTTAGGCCTTCCTTGGCCGGCCAGCCACTCTGCTTCCCTTGCCGGCCCCTCCCCGCGGGTCTGGCTGCTCCCACTCTCTCCTGCATCCAGAGCCCCTCTCTGGCTCCAGAGCACGGGCTGAGCTCATCGGAAACATTCTGTGTGAGGGTCACACGGCCAGCTGTGGTCCCCCCTGACCTCTGGTCTCCTCGTCCCTGGGAACAGTGTGACTGCTGTGTGCAGTCCTTCCCAACACGCCTGTCCTCGGCAGGAGGCCCAGGGGCCCCGGTCTCACCCTTTCCCTCCCGAGGAGCCGGTGGGGGGGTGGTTGGAGGAGAACCAGGGCTGTGTCCACCAGCTCATCCTCCGCCGCTCTAAGTAGAACAGGACAGGGAAGGGGGCTGGGGGGCACACGGGGGGTCAGACGCCCTGGCCCGAGAGCCCTCCCACGGTGGCGGGTTTGCTGGGGTGGGGGGGCTCTGCCGCACAGCTTTCCGCTGTCTTCACCCACAGGGCGAGCGCGCCACAGGCTTCGGTGTGGCCCTCCTGCTGGCGCTCTTCGGCCAGGCCTCCGAGGACCCTCTACTGAACCTGGTGTCCCCACTTGGCTGCGAGGCGGACGCCCAGGAGGGGGACGCGGAGAGGGACTCCAAGAGGCGCAGGCTCGTGTGATGCAGCCGCCCTGCCCGGTGACACTGGGCGCTTTACCTCACTTTGCACTGATTAATTCTAAGCAATTGGAAGATTATACCTTAAGATGAGCTGCGGTTTGTTTTGTTTTTAGTTGTCATGGTGACGGAAACAGCTCCTTCTTGTGTCTTAGGAGACAGCTCAGGGTTCGGGGGGCCCAGGGAGGGGTGAGTGGGCAGCACTGGGCTTGTTTTATGTTTGATTCCCTGCCAGCTTCTGCAGACCATGCCCCTCCCTGGGGCCTCTGCACGACCCCAGGGCCCCAGGATGCATGCGCGGCCCTGATGCTTTTGGCCGCGTGGCCCTCAAGACTCCCGCCCCTGCCTAGGGCCCACGGTGGGTGCCATTGGCCCCGTCTGCAGCCCCAGGCCTCGCACATGGCACCCACATTGCAGAGCACCCAGGCCCCACTCCAGCTGGGGCAGCCCCTGCCTCCAACAGACCACCCCTTTGAAAGGATGGGGCGACTTGGTTCAGGTTTTAAAGAGCAAGAGGAATGTCTACTTGGGCCCCTTTGAGTTCACTGCAGGTTGAATTAAACATGGCTAAACCACGTCACACCTCTGCCTCTGTCTCCTTTCTCCGGCCCACTTTAGAAAGCAGCCCAACAACCTGCCTATGGGTCTGAGGCTCCGGGTGCCACCCTCTCCTCCCAAACCAGCACCTGCCTTTGAGGTGAATTTGGCAAACTCATTCCTGCAGATGAGAGCCCGGGGCCCTCGGGGCCAGCTGGGCTCTGAGGTTCAGCGTGCAGGCTCTGGAGGGCAGGCATCTCGGACTTTCCCACGACCCGCAGTCTGCAGGGAAGGTGTTAATGACCCCCAAGCACAGCACAAGACAAGTGTTACATGGGGTTAACCGAAAGCCCCCTGGGCAAGATCCTAGGAGCTGAAGGGCACAGCCTGGCCCAGCCTGGGCCCCGCAGAGGAGATCCGGGACTCTGGCTCCGCCTGGCATGGAGCCGGCACCTCCTCTGCAGGCGACGGGAGGACGAGAACATGGCTGCAGGCCACACGTCTCCTGGCTGTGTCTGGGCTCCTTGACCTTGCACCCCTGCCCAAGGCTCCCTAAACTTCAAGTCCCTTCCCCTGCCCTGAAATCAAGGTGACTTTTTCTGGGCATGGTCCCAAGCATCTATTTATTAACTGCCTGCTGTGTGCACAGCCCCAGGCTGGGCCTGGAAGAGGCAAGCGGCAGTCCCAGGGCCCCCACCCTGTCTGGGAAAGCCCTGGCCCGACGTGTTAAATTGCAGTAATCATGGTCACGAGGCGGTCAGTGGGCTCAGGGAGGCACGGGGGCCGGAGGGGCCAGGAGCCTTCATGGGTCATTAGCGTGCTTAATGGCCTTAGTGTTGGCAGCTCAATCCAGCTTCTCCCTGAGAAGCCCTGAAGGAGCCAGAGGTCACTGAGGTGGCCCAGCTCCTTCTCCTGGCAGCTGGCACTGTCCACACCCCCTGCAGGGGCTACAGGGAGCCGGGGGACTGAGTGTTCCTTGTGCAGGCACAAAGGGGGCCTCAGGCCTGGCGACCCAGCTGGGCAGCAGCTGCAGGCCAAGGGCCTGGCACTGGGGGGACGCAAGGCTACGGCAAAGACCCTACTTCTCTGAGGCCAAAGGGCTTGAGGACACGACGGCTGCTTCCAGCCGCTCCACGGGAGCCGCAGCAACAGGGTTGGCGGGGGGCAGGCAGGGAGTGGGTGGGCACTGGCGCGTCCACTTGATCATGGTCTCAGGCGAGCGGTATAGGAAGGTGAGTCTGGCGAACAGCTCCTGCTCCAGCTGCAGCTCACCCAGCTCACGGACCAGGAAGATGTCTGTGCAGAGCCCTAGCACGCGGTCCACATCAGGTAGCTGGTCATGCATGATGGAGCGGGCAATGCCGAGGAAGTGGTCTCGGATGAACTTGGCTGCAACCATCACCACCGACACATAGAGCCCGACAATGCTGGGGGGATGAGGGGGTGTCAGCACTGCTGTCCCAGGAGAGGAGGGCACAGCCCCTACTCAGCCCGATGGGATAGAAGTGCGAGTGCTGACCACTCGCAGCCCCCACGACCTCTTGTGGGTGGGGCTGGGGTTCCAGCCCCGACCTGGGGTTGGAGGGCCGGATGACACATGACCCTACAGACAGGAAGGAGGGGTGGGACAGTGGGAATGCCCATTTCTGCTAGCAGCTTGTATGACAGTAAGTCACCATCCTGGTGTATTTCTGGGGCCAAGGGAACGGGGACTTGTGCCTCCTGTCCCAGGCAGTTCTGGTGAGCAGGGGTGAGAAGGGGCAGAAAGTTCTGAAGCCTCCGGGCCACAAGGCAGGTTCTTGGGGCCGGGGGAGCCTTACCCATATCCTGCCAGGAAGCCCAGGCTCTGGGGGCTGACTTTGTCATTAAAGATGACGAGCTCCAGGTCCTGACTGCAGCCCCGGCTCTGCTCACAGCCTGGCCGCCACTCCTGGACCATCCACCACTCAGCTGCTGGGCTGGCCACGGGGTCCTCCACCGGCCTCAGCTGCTGCAGCTGGATGGTGGCGTTGCGGAAGAAGGCCAGGCGGTCCACGTCCCGTGGCCTTTGGGGGTGGGCTGTGTAGGAGAGGCAGCGTCAGGCCCTGGGGTCGCCTGCAGCCTGGGAAGACCCCATGTCACCCATGACAACCACGTCAGGGGACTTGCCTCCAAGGAGCTAGGATGGATGCTGATTGAGCAAAACCTCTGACACTCCCCTGCCCTCCCTGCAGGCAAAGCAACCTCTGCTTAGATGCAGCCTGGCCCCTTGCCCCTAATGCATTCCTTCTTCCTGCCTTATTCAGGGGCCCCCATCTGGAGGCCCCCTCCCCAGCAGCACCTCCCGAGGAGCCAGTGTTCAAGGTCTCCCTGGGAGGGTCAGCCTGGTCCCCTGGTGCACACTGATGCCCCTCCCTCAAGGGGCTCTGCCCTCCCCAACTTCCCCCCACCCCATGAGCACATCCGTCACCCCAACAGCCCCTCCTCCAGTCCACACTGGTTGAGTTGGAATTTGCTGCTGAGATGCTCTGCCCAGAACCCCTGTTCGTACTGTTCCCGGGTGAATTGATTTCAACGGTTTTGTTTATTTGTTTGTTCTTTAACAAAAGGTTGTTTTGGTTTGAGATTCAGCAAAAACACACGCCGCCTTCTGCTTCCTCTCCATTCAGGATTCAGTAAATTAGCTGTTTTCCAGTAGGCTTCGAGGCCTCGCCTCAAATGAGCCTCCAGCGAGATAATGCATTTAAAAGCGCTTGGAAAAGTACCAGGTCCCACGCACATTGGAGACAGTGTCACCTGCCAGTGGCTGGCTCAGCCCTGCACCCCAGCCAGGCAGGCTCACGGGGGCCCTGCTTAGGCCCACCTGCAGGGCTCAGGATGGGGGGGGGCAGCTGCCCTCCCCCGCCTTCCCTGGCAGCACCATCTGGGGGCAGGGATGCAAGGTGGGGGTGGGTCCTTACCAACTTCTAACTGGTGGGCCATTTTCACTTCAGTCCCCTCTGTGGTCCTCAGGGCTTTGGGAATAAGGCCAGGGAGCATTCTTCAGGCAGGAAAACAAAGTCAAAAAAACTCAGAGTTCTGGTTTACATTCACCGACCTTTAGTGCAATTCAAACATGGTGGGGGGGCCGCTGTCTGAAAGCGGGTCTTCCTAGTGGCTGCGTGGGAAACTCCATGGCTCAGACACCTCCTCCTCCCCCTCCCCCAAGTCCACTTAGTTCCCCCAACTCTATGACCTTGGACTTCTTATCATGCCTGACTCCCCCGCTTTGCTAACGGGTTGGGTGAGTTTCTGTGGCGTCCACAAAGTTGGTCCAGTGCGGGGACCGCAGGAAGCCAGCTTCCTCTCCCAAAAGTATTTATTAAGCGCCACCTGTGTGCACCCCTGAGAAGCTCAGTCTTTTCCCGACTGACAAGCCAGAGCCAGCCTGTGGGAGGGGGCTGGGCTGCATGAGGCCAGAAGAGGCCTCCAGGCCAACCCCCAAACACTGCTTCCTTGTACCATCCATGGAGATGTCATTAGCGACTAATAGATGAGCATTTTGTAAGCAACTTGCCTCGTGCAGGGCAAATTATCTTGTTCCCACCCAGGGGTGCAGAAGCTAGTGTGTGTGTGCGCACACGTGTGTGCGTGTATGCCCGGAGGGGACACTTACACAGGCTCTTTCCGGACGAGGCTGACTGTGTACACCAGTTGGTCCCGTATCTCCGCGTCTCTGTAACACACCATGTGTTTGCCGGATGCTTCCACGTTCTTGACCAGAGACACATTCCTGAGGGTGGAGGGAAAGGAGAGAGGAGGCTGAGAAACAAACTGGTGGGCACATGGGGCAGCTTCCCTCTGGCCCAGCTGCCCGCGCTCCCCATTAAGATGCGCTAAGTGACCCCTCTCCTGCCACTAAGATGCATTGAGTGACCACCGTGTTCATCTCAGATCCTGAAACCAGAGGAGAGGGCGGCAAAGGGCCTTGCCGTTGTGGAGACCGGGGTCCTCATCAGGCAGCACCCACCCCCTGCCCTCTGCGCATCCATCTTCCATCCGGGCCTCTCCCAGCCCTGGACTTGCACCTGGGTGGGCACGGTGGCTCTGCACGGCTGAGCATCACTGAAGGCCCAGGAGGCCGGCAGGTGTCCTCCTGCCCCCTCCGCCCAGAGGCTGCTGGGAAGACGCCAGGCAGGCGCTCAATGCAGAAAGACAGTGGACACGGCCGGGCTGCCTGCCTTGGCCCCTCGCTGGCCCCCGAGCCTTGGTTTCCACCTTGTCTGAAGGCGGGGGAGGCAGAAGCAGAGCAGGTGCTCTGAAATGAGGGTTTCCTGGCATTTAGACCACAGGAGGTGGCCTGGCCACATTTCACGAGACGCGAACGTCCTCAGCAGAGGGACCCCATCACGTGTGGGAGCTGCTATCCTCCGGGCCCATGGCAAGAGACAGCACAGAACTCAGACGCCCTGCATCCCTCCCTCTAGCCAGCCGTCCTGGGAGCCTTGGGGAGAAGGTTCAGAGTGCAGGACCCTCCAGCCTTGGCTCTAGGGGGCTCATGAGGGAGTTGTCAGCAAGCAAGCAAACACACCTAGGGTTGGACCTGGTGAGCACGGTCCCACAGGCCTGCTGGCCCCCAAGGAAGGCGTCATTTCCTCCTGTGGATGGAAGACAAGGCAGCCCCGCTTCCTCCCCAGCTCTGGCAAGGAAACGTGCTATAAATAATCAGCCCACAGAAGACAGTCATGGCAGAGAGGATGGTCCAGCTCTGAGAAGGGTCTGAGGAGAGGGCCAGGTGGGAAGGCTTGCCCAGAGGAAGTGCTGTCTGAGCTGAGATTGCAAGGATGAGTGAGCATAAGACGATGCAGACAATGGAGGAAACCAATTTCAGGCAGAGGGAACGGCCTGTGCAAAGGTCCTGGGGTGGCCGAGGCCATGACAAACCAGAGGAGCAGGACGGAGGCCAGTGAGGCTGGAAAGGAGAGAGGGGTATGGGGATGAGGATGGGGCCAGGCTGTGAGCAGCACAGCCTTGCTGGCCACAGGCGGGAGCCAAGTTTTTATTCTAAGCCCAAGGGGAGCTGTGGATGAGTTTCATGCAGACGAGAGGCAGGTTGAATTGACACCTTCGGGACAGTCCTCTGCTGCACATCACCAGACACCTGCCCCCTGCCTCCCACGTGCAGAGGGAACCCACTTCAACACCCAGGGTTGGCTAGGGTCAACCAGACTGCAGTGGAGATCACTATTTTAGGACAGCCGGTGAAAGCCAGCATCATAGAGCCTACGGTCCTAAGAGCTGTTCACCGCTTCTGCAGTCATGGACGCCTGTTCCAATCCTGCGCATGGCACGAGTGGGACAGGCTTAGCGGCCCTGCCATTTCCTGGTCATGTGACCTGACCCCAGTGTCCTAATGGGCCACACTTGAGTCCCTCCATTGGTGAAAAACAGAATAGGGTCTAACATTCATCTTGAGAGGGTCAAATGGTGTCATGAAATGACCCATGGTGGGCAAGTCTAAACTCCTAACAAAGAGGAAAGACAGCTATTTGAAAATACTGGAGGATGACAAACAGTGAGAAGTCCCTCGAGCCTGGGGGTGGTGGGAATTCCACCAGAAAGCCACTGTCTTGTGGGCAGGGGTGCATGAGAGGAGCTTGGGGTCATGGTGATGGGGCTGCGGGGGGAGGGAGGGCTGGGTGTTCTGCCTGGAAAGAAGCAAAAAGCCCATGTTTAAACCAGACTCCCTGAGTGGGTCTGATACGCGTTTCCAACCACCATGAAGGAGGGGAACTGGATTCACCCTTCTGCCGTAAGCAAGTAAGAAAAGCAGACAAATGTGCCAAAAGCAACGCTTTTCCGACACTAGAAAACAGGCGCATGAGAGGACTATCCCCGGTAGGGGGTGAGGGGGCGGGCAAATGCTATGAGCAGTGCAGATGCCCCAGCTGATGGCCCAGAACACCCCGCACCCCTGGCTGCATCACATCCCGCAGGACCCCAGTCAGAAGGGGCCCCCTGAGCAGCAGGGGGACAGAGCTGAGGATTCAGGTAGGCTGAGGTGGCCAGGGTTGCCGGGTGGACACCTGGAAAGCAGAGAAGTGCCCACAGAGAGAGAACTGCAGAGTCCAGCAGAGGTTCCCCGAGGCAGCAGCTGAGTCCTGCAGGGCCCATGGCTGGAGGGACAGGGGTGCCCGGGGGAGCACAGGTGCACATGCCCCTGTCCCAGGGCCAGGGGCTTCGGGAGGTCCCGAGAGCTGAGGCCTGAGACACCAGCACTCAAGTCCATGCTGATCTCCAAGTGGGATGCATGTGGGCTTTGGAAAACAGCACCACTGGAGCTTGGCAGGCTGAACGGGCAGGAGCCCGCACCCACAGAAAGAGATAGAACTTGCGGCTCAAGGTCTCCTGCATTGCAGACGGATTCTTTACCAGCTGAGCCACAAGGGAAGCCCAGAAAAAGGATAGGGGAGGGGGAAATGGAAAAAAGAAGAAGGAAGCCTGCATTCTCCAGGGCGTTTTTAACAGGATCCAGTCTTCTCACATAACACAAACAAACAAGATGTCCAGAATAAAAATCCCGTGTTACTCAGCATGCCAAGAACCAGGAGCATCGATCAAATCTCGAGGGAAAGAGCATCAAAAGATGACAACCCTGAGACAACCCAGTTGCTGGGATTATCAGACGAGGTCTGAGAAGCGGCTGTGCTAGTTATCCTCTGTGAGGCAAAGCCGGACAGGCTTGAAATGAATGGAAAAAACAGAAGTTTTGGCAAAGAGAGACAAACTATAATGAAGAATCACTAAATGTGATGTGGTTTTGTATCTTGGATTGAATTTTGGAAATCCACTCCCCCATCCCCAGCAAAAAAAAAAAAAAAAAGACATTCATGTAAAAACTGGTGAAATCTGAGTACAGTCTGGAGTTTAGCATAATAATGTACCCACGTTGGCATCTTAGTTTTGACAAACATGCCACGGTGGCAAAGAAAGATGTTAACATTAGGGAAAATTGTTGTTGCTCAATTGCTCAGTTGTGTCCAACTCTTTGCGACCCCATGGACTGCAGCATGCTAGGTTTTTCCTGTCCTTCACTATGTCCCTTAGAAGAAATAGAGTAGCCTTTATAGTCGACAAAAGAATCTGAAATGCAGTACTTGGGTGCAGTCTCAAAAATGACAGAAAACTAGGTGAGGGGTATTTGTAAACACTCTCTGTTATCTTCACAGCCTCCTGTAAATGTAAAATTTTATTAAAGAAAACATTTATTTAAAAAGAAATAAAACTTTTAGATCTGAGAAGCAAAGTAGAAGATATAAACATTTCACTGAATAGGCTAAGAGAAGAACGAAGATGACAGAGGACAGAGTCAGTAAACTTGAAAACAGATCGATGGAAATGATCTAATCTTAGAACTGAAAGACAGGATTTTTAAAAATGAGGGCCTCAGGGACTTGTTAGTCAATATTGTAAGACTTAATACGTCATTGAAATTCCTAATAGAGGGAGAGACAGGGTCAGAAAAAATTTTTTTCAACTACTTTAGGAAAATATGACTGACATAAAACTTTATAGATAGCTAACACAGTAAATTATAGATTTAATTGTAATTTACATTACAAATTATAGATAATTGTGTCTGGGGCTAACAACATGCCCTGGGATACCATTGTCACTATCAGATCCCTATCAATGCCGTAAGCTTACCCATCACCTTGCAAAGAATCCTCCTGCTTCTGGTGTTTTTTTTTTCCTTTTGTGTTAAGAACTTTTAACATAAGATCTACCCTCTTCACAATTTTTTTTTAAGTATACAATGACTTCCCTTGAAGTCTAGTGGTTAACTCTATGCTTCCAGCGCAGGGGATGCAGTTTCAATCCCTGGATGGGGAACTAAGATCCCACATGCCACGTGGCATGGCCAAAAAAATAAAGTATACAATACAGTATTGCTAAGCTTAGGCCCTGTGTTTTACAGTAGATCTCCAGAACTTATGTATTTTGAGAGGCCAAACATTCGCTATTTCCACTGGAATCCAAGCAAAACAATTTTTTCAAAGAATAATGGCTAAACTTCCCCAAATATGTCAAAAGACATAAATTTTACAGGTTCAAAAGGCTTTAAGACCTCCAAACAGGATAAACTCCAAGAAAACCACACCCAGACACATCAGAATCAAGGGATTGAAAGCCACAGATAAAGATTGAAAGCAGACAGAGAAAAATGATGCCTTCCCTGAAGGTGAGTAACGCCTGGAGACCATTCAGCAGAAACAATGGTGGTCAGAAGACAAGGAAATAATATAGCATCCTTGAAAATTCACAACAAAGGAACTGTCAACTCAGAATTCTAAATCCAGCAAAAATATTTTTCTTAAGAGTGAAGGCAAAATAGAGACCTAGTCAGAAGAAGAAAAAAAAACAAAAACGGAAAGAATTCATCACCAGCAGACTTGCTCAAAAAGAAATCTGAAAGAATGTTCTCCAGGCAAAGGGGAAATGATATCAGAGGAAAACTCAGAACATCAGGAATGAAGGAAGCGCAACAGAACAGATAAATATCTGGGTAAATATAACAGATACTTTTCTTCTCTTGAGTACTTTTAAAAATGTATGACTTTACAAAGCAATCTTGGTGACATTATCCAGGAGATTCAATGTATGTAGATGTAAGATATGTAATAATTAGAAGGCGAAGTATAGAATCGAGATGGTAAAGATGATTATAAGATTTCTATATTTTACATACAGTAGTAACATATTAACACTAAACAGATGGTGAAAAGTTGGAGA